TGCTATCGAACTAATAGCCGATGAATTCGAAATAAATTTCTTCAACATATAACTTAAAAGCATTTCTATTTTTGCGTTCAGGTAATTTACTTTAGATACTTAGGATAGTTAAATTTTTATGGTGTTGCTAACAGGTCCCTCGTTAATTCAACCCATCCATTTGAAAGCGCAATGACTTAGTTACATTAACTTTATTAAATAATTTCAGCCACTAAATCTAAGATCAAAATAATTACCTTTTATTTACTAGAGGGTTTACTGTGTGTGCGCGTGCTCAAATCTTTAAATTTAAAAAGAAATAGCGAATAGGATTAGAGAGAAAGTAAGCCATTTAATGGGAAATTTATATTTTGGTCCAATCTAGTGAAAATTCTAATGTTGTCTGATTGAAGTTAATTATGAACTTTCGATTAAAATTCTAGGAATCATTTCATGAGAAATTAAAATATGAATTATTAGCAAGTCCTCAAATCTCAGGAGTAAACGGTGTATCCATTTGCATATTGATTGATTTAATTTAATTGGATTCACGATAATTAGGAACAAGGGATGTTAGGAGAGGGGGGGGGGGTGAGGTGGGCTGAATTTCACAATTTTAATAAATTTTTAGGATTTTAAAAAGGGGGCCACAGTTTAAATAATTTAAATAGCTTATCGATATCTGTCATCGATAACGCGATAGGGCCACGAATTTAAGTTTGTTCCCAAAAGAAACGCTTAGTACTAAATAATTTCATTTTCATTAAGCAGATTATGAAAGGGGGAAATTTTTACAATTTTGTACTGTGCGAAACAACCAAAATTTGTCAACAAAAAACTAGGCAAAAAAGGAGAAGTGAATGCGATTATTAGAGGCTTGCAAGAAAAACGTCAGGGTAACACAACGTGTTAATTCGATTGATTTTTGAACATTTGCACTGGGCGATATTTTCCAAAATGGAGTCAGTTCGCTTTTCAAAATGCGAATTTCATTATTTGCTCCCTGGATTTCAGCTACTGATTTTATTTATTAATGCTCCGTATTTCATCAAGAAGGGCTTATTTTCCCACCTCATGTCAGCTTTCTTCCAATGTTGAGGCGGTAAATGATCACCTTGATAATTTAAACTCCTTCTATACCAGTACCTCATTTCAATTTAAACAAAGAATGGAATAATTTTTTAAAGGGCTAAAAAAGGCTCCACATTTGAACTAAGTCCTTAGTCTAACCTTAATCCCACGGAACAAACATGTTTGCCGTAGCTTAAAATGGGATCAAAAGTTTGTTTTGTTATAATCTGTTTTTTTTAAATTTAAAATGAAACGAATTCCTTTCTGGATAAAATAATTCCGCATTATATATTTGCAACCAATTGGAAAAAAGAGCAACTTAAATCGGCAAAATATTTTTTCCCAAACAAATTTGTAGTGTTCACAAACACTGTTTGAATTTGGCTGCTCAATATCAAAGTAAAAATTACATTTAACAAAAATTAAATTAAACTAGTTTTAAACCACTATTGTTTGCGTTACAGTTTTGTTAGAATTTATGGCCTGCTGGCACTGGAAGCTTTCAATGGGATTTGACGCGCATGAATCCCAAATTTGGTCCAACTTGGTGTGAAATTAACTGTTGGATCTAACCGATATTTTCAAAGTTTTAAATTTTCAAACGCTTTTATGCTCATTTAAAACAAAAATTCGTCTAGTTGCTGCAGCCTTATTTCACTCCCAACGCGGTCACAAGTCGGGGTTGATTAGTGAGTCAGTAGACTTTCGAATTGGCTTTTATAAGTTTTAATGGAGAAATGGGAGATCATCTTTTTCTGGTAAAAGAAATTGGAGAGCTTCCGAAAGGCTTGAGTTTTTTCTCGGCGGGGATTTTAAAGCCACTTCTTTGGTCATTGAAGCTTAATGAGTTGATACATGCAAAGCTCTGGAGTATTTAAAGCCTTCTATCAATTCGGCCACTTGAATTCTAGAGTATCCTCTGAAGCATTTATTTATTTACTTCCGACTAAGTATATTTCCATAAAGAGTAAATAAAATTGCATTTTTAAAATTAACTTGCAAAGAAACCTTCGAATTTCGTCCAACGCAATAACCGCTAAAGCTATTTTTTTGATGCTTTTATTTAAAAAATTATTTTTAAGTTTTTTTATCATTTCCATTCTTTAATTATAATTCAAATGAAAACACTAATTTGAAGATTTAAAATCTGTAAAGAATTTTGTCTTCCTTTAAAACTTAAGCCATATAATTAAAACAGATCTAAAAAATCGCAAATTGATTTCTTTGATTATAATAAAAAAGTAACTGCTTTTACAGACGAGAATACGATGCTATAAACATCAATTAAGTTCTTAATGAAATGTTCAATAAGCACACATTTACAATCTGCCGTGAAAATCATGATATCTTACGCCTTAACTAAACAACTCCATTTGCACCCAAGTGGGGTTTAACGTGTAATTAATACTAAACGATATTAAAGCAAAAAAACTTACTTTACCTTAATAATTCTATGTTTATAGAACTGGGGTGTGAGATCTAATTGCCTCTACGTAGTGAACCCAGGGCAACGTACGGTCATATGTCAAAGAAGTCAATAAACCGGTAGTTAATCTCTGATTTCAAACTGCCATGACCCCAATGTGTCATATTTGATCATTTACACAATACTCACAATGACCCGACTGTATGTCATATTCGACCCCTTCCACAGTTCTCATATTCTGTATGTCATATTCGACCACTTTCACAGTACTCATCTTTACTTTTCTCTGCCTTTGTGTCTTTCTGTCTCTTTTACATCTTTGAATCACTCTTCTGTCTCCCTCTGTCTCTTTTACATCTTTGAATCACTCTTCTGTTCCCCCTCTCGACTTTGATGAACCTCCCCCCTGAGAAGCCCGAAGTCAGCTAAAGAGCTAATGACAACTACCATAAAGCTTCCTATTTGATTTAAATGAATGTTCATAGAACTACGTATATAGGTTCAAGAAAAGTTCTTATACTGTCAAGGCTGCTTACTTAAAGAATATGGCACTGCAATATCTCCATTCTCCTCAGAGCGACTAAAAAGGATTTGAAAATGATATGATTGAATCAGACATAGAAGTAAGTCTATAGGTACCGGAAAGGTGGGTTTTATACAAACAAACTCTTCCCTATTGTTTCTACTTCTTTACACCAACCCACTAAATCAAGAAGGTCGTTTCTACAACTTGTATAACATCGATGCGGTTTTCGATATCTTGCCAAATTGCTTTGGGAACACTAAGTCATCTGATGATTAGGTGTTCCCTAAAATTCGAATTTGCTTCAGGTGAGCAGAAAGCTTTCACAAATATCTAAAAAGATCGAATGGATATCAGAAGTCAAAGTGAATTATTTGGCCTCAATTTTTAGCTCATGCCCACAAATTAAGAATTAAAATGGTTCCACAACATTAAATGTCGGAATTATATCACAAGAGTAAATCTGTTAGTTTAACACTTGTACTTATTGACACACAATTAAACTCATTAAGAGGTGTGCGATAGACTTACCTCCACGTGGTACACCCTGGGCAACGTATACTCATACGGCAAAAAAGTCTATTAACCGGCAGTTGACTTCTCACTTCAAACTACCATCACCCCACTGTATGCCATATTCTACCACTTCCACGGTAATCATTTTACCTTTTCTCTGCCTCTTTGTCTGTCTCTTTTACAACTGTAAACCACTCTTCTGTTCCCCACCCATCGACTTTCTGTTACTTTGACGTTCCTTTCCCTCTGTGAAGCCCGAAGTCAGTTAAAGGGCTAATGATAACTATTAAAACGCCTGCCATTTGAAATAAATAAATTATATTCATTAAGAATCTAAATGGTGTAATTTAAAATAGAAAATAAAGTTCTTCCATCGTCCAAGATGATTATATTATTACAGTATTTCCCTACTTTTAATCAGAAATATAGGTTTCTACCCACAACTACTAATTTAACTGTAAAATGTTCTTCGACTAATCGACGTATCTTTTTTCCTAGCTTATTTAAGGATTTCTAAATCACTTAGGACTGTTGTGATAGATTGACAGGGTAGATAAACAACAATTAATTTATTCAAAACCTTTTAGTTAAACAAATAAATGTGAATTAACTCCAATAGTAGTAGATAAACAACAATTAATTTATTCAAAACCTTTTAGTTAAACAAATAAATGTGAATTAACTCCAATAGTAGTAGAAGAAGTAAAATATACACTAAAATACTCTTTTAATCAGAATAATCCCTCTCGTTTTATCCCACTCTTCAAAACTCTATTGGTAGAAGATATTTTTAAACAATCTATAAATATATACGTTTGATTTTATCCGATAAAATAGAATATTAAATGAACGAGCATAACCACAAACTTCGAGTAGAGTGATACGAGATTTTGTATAATTAACAAGTCACTCTATGTGAGGGGTGGTGGGTGGGTGGATGCTTGGGGGAGGAGGAGGGTAAAGAGGGGAGGGGAAGGAAAATGGGTAATTCGTGGTAGATACAAATCAAAAATTCGCATACAACCTTTTTAATATTTTATCAAGCAAAGAGGGCGGGAGGGGGTGGGGGGGTGGGCGGGGTTCGTGAGTGGAAATTCTACCAATAAAACGGAAAACTCCTCACCAATTAGACTACGCGAAAAGGGGATTCAGAGTAGGGAGTGCTACTGCTGCTAGCACGTTGAGCTATGTTCTAAAGCATTAATATAATTAATTCTTTAGACTATTAAGCCGGTGTGGTGTAGGGCAGGAGAGTTGAAGTAATTGATTGGGGGAGTGAAAAAGGGGATTTGAAAAAGAGGATGGAAATTGGATAGGATGAAGTGGAGGCTTGGGGGGTTAGGGGTTTGGGGGGGGGGGGGGGGGGGGGGTGGGAAAAACAANGGGGGGGGGGAGGGGGTTAGGTAGAACAACTAAGTAAACCCTTCTCGCCTTTGGCATATACCTCAAAACCACACACGAAGATTCACATAGGAGTTTTTTTATTTAAATTTGAGTGAAATCAGCCAATAAGAAAGTGAAGTTGTCGAGGCTCGTTCTAATTAATCAGCTTTTCAACAACAAAAAACTTCGATAGAGTTTTGTCATTGAAATAAGTTGAAAAATGAATTAATTATTTTACCACCCAAATCTCAAAGTTGGTCAATAAAATGCCAAATTTTAATGGACAATTTTTCTAGCAATTAATTTACTTGGTAAATGTTTTTTTTCTTTATTTCACTCACTGCTGAATGGTTCTACGCTTATAGAAACAGGAATTTCAACAAAAATGTTTCATTAGGAGAATTATTCACAAATTAAAAATCGAATTTTATGTAGACGGTATTATAAATTTTGAAATTCAAATTCACAGATGGAACGCAAAATAAGGTAAGAAGAAATGCAGCTATTGTTTAAGTCTTTTTACTCAAAAAAGCTGATATCTGACTGAGCGCCTGATATACTGAAGATAGCTTGAGGTGGAATCAGACCTCACAGGATGCAACCAAAATTTCTCCTCTAATTCTTCAATCCCCTTTCTCATACACTTCTGGGAGTTTTTTAACAATAACTGACCAAAAGACGCAGTCAAATTAAGTCAGCTTTCGTCTTGTTTCAAAAATAATTCAGTTGAATGCAGATAATGCTAAAAGAAATTGGAACAGATTTCTGATCTACTGAGTATCTGAACTGACGGTAATAGTAGCAAATGTGTCATATGAAAACCGCTGCTTAAAAGTACCATTAACACAATCATACCATTTGGTGTTCCGGGGTCCCGTTTAAGCGTATTGCGAGTGACTGTGACATAGGCCGACGCAGAATCAATAAAAGGGGCTGGTTGGGTAGGTACCCCGTAGATTTTCTTCATCATTCCTGGAACAGCACTGTTACCTCCATCATCAGCGAATTGGAGCTCAAACTCAGCGTTTTTTGAAGTCGATTTCGTCCCACCAGGACCTTGTCTTCTGGACTGTTCAGCTAGCATTCTTTTCCTCAAACAAGCGGTGGCTAGGAGTACCACAATGAAGAGAAGAGCCGCAACAGCAGCTACCATAACTGCTATTATAATCAAAGATTCAGTCGAGATTAGATGGTCCTGATCTTGCTGCCGTTGAAACTGTTGATGTTTGCTTCCCGACAAGTAACCTTGTTGTTTTGATTTATTTCCAGTGGCCTTTTGCTCCCTATATGTTCCTGACTGAGAATTTGACGTGGCGCCTGGTTTAGACAAGGACAAGAGTGGTTTGGGATTGAGAAGAGGAACACTAGATCCTGAAAGTCTAACATCAAGAATAGCGCTTGTAGTTCTGGGTGGATCACCTTGATCTGAAGCTTTAAGATAAAGTCTAAAAGTTTTATAGGAAAGCATTCGCAGGCGATTCTCCAAGAGGATATTGTTAGCATTCAAAGAGGTAGTTGAGGTACCATCTTGATCTGAATTCGATGATCCAGTGGTTGTAGCAGTAAATGGTTTACTAATATAGAGACTTCCAGTAGGTTCATCCAACTCAAAATGACCCTCTTCATTACCGCTGACGATGGAATAGGTCACTTTCCCAAAATCGCCTTCATCGCTATCTGTTGCATTTAACTAAAATATATGAAAAAAATGAATTTAAATTACTTTACTAAAGCCCCTTAAGTCGACCGAAATTAGATAATCTTATCACATTAATGGAAGCTGTGCAACCAAATTCTTACTAATTTTGTCCAAATAAAATTGAATATATTATTTTGTCATTTAATTCACAATTTAATTTCAAGACAAAAAATATAGGCAGGCTTGAGAAAATTAAAATACACAGGCAATAGAAGAGATAAAATCTTTCGCTAATCTTCATAAACTTTCTTACTTGTTTATTTGTTCCATGAATTTATTAACGGCCACACACACACAAAAACGTGAAATAGGGACGTGTTCGAGTGAAAAAAACTAATAAATAAATTATGAAGAGCAAAAAAGTTATCTTTCTCTCGAAAAAAATGGGAAATAAATGTCGGATATATTTATTTATTTTTTGTTTAAATAACAAGTAACACAAAATTGCGGCAAAATTGCAACAAGTTTAAAATTGATTAAAATGTGCAAACTGAAAATCGTTATCAATTTTGGGTAAAGCCGTGTTCGAAAATGGTATTAAGTACGTACATAATGCGTTTTAGTTCATGTGGATCGGCTTGTTGGTTGATGTCTGCGTTGGTGGGGTGACTGGAAGCGTCCGGATATTGTAGTTAACATTAACAAGGTCATCAAATGCACATAAATGCTATTACCGTTGCTGTTAACTCCTAACTCTACTCATTTATCACTTTTGATTACCAATAACAAACTTTCCCAGGAACAACATAAATAGTACCTTATTATATGCTGCATGGGGTGTGCGACAGACTTACCTAAACGTGGTGCTCCTGAAACGTCTACTCATACGACCAAAAAGTCTATCAATCGGCAGTTGACTTCTGACTTCAGACTACCATCATCCCCCACTGTATGTCATATTTGAATACTTTCACAGTACTCACCTCACCTTTTTCTACCTTTTCTACCTTCGTCTTTGAAATACTCTTCTGTTCCCTCCCCCTCTCAACTTTGATGTTCCTCCACCTCTTTGTGAAGCCTGAAGTCAACTAAAGGACTAATTATAACCATCAAAACGCCTGCCATTTGATATAAATAAATAAATTATATGCTGCATTAGAAATGAAACGATTAAGGTCTTCAATACAGGGAAAGTCATGATCCAATTTATAAAATTTTTGGTGGAGCTCTTACAATACCTGGCATTGGGATAGAAAAAAGGCAGAAATCGAGCATCAAATAATGCTACGCAAGGAATCCGAATAAGTGTCCGAATTCTATACATCAAAATAATACCAGCCGAAGTTCATCTAATGTTTTGCGAAT